TGTATGTATGTATGTATATATTATGTTCTTAATTGTTGCCATTATTATACTTACTTTTCTCCTACTATACAGGGTACCGTAGTATACGGGCACTTTGAGGGTACCATAAGGATAAGGATACTGGCAGCGTGACAATAAGGGCCAGGGCAACACAGATCTAGAAGATTTCCTCAAGTTGACAGATGAAGGTGCTGGTGTTTGCGTAAGTTGAGGCGCATGATTGTGCCCGGTGCGTCTGCCTGATTGTTGAAACGTTACTACAAGATTGGTTGCAGCAGCTTTGACATTGCGCCAGACAGTGTGCACCTGGGATTGATCTGGGGTTATACTTGTAGTGGAAATCTCACTTGAACGCTGTGTTCTTTCTCGGGCACGCCCGGCCTAGTCCCCAACACCTCCAAGCGTATACCCCTAAACCCCGAAACCCTCAGCCTTCCCATATCTTCCCATCTTAGCCACTCAGTGTCTTACTCAGCCGACTCAAGACCACATGCCTCGCCTGGTTTGTCCCAGCGTGAGCGCTGAAACATGCTGAAACCCTCAACCCTAAACCCCTCAAACATCCCAAAACCCAAAACCCTAACCTTGCCTGCCTAGTGCGAGTGTAAGAGTCGAAACCCTTAAAAAAACCCAAACCCTAAAACCCTCAAACACCCCAAAACCCCAAACCCTAAACCCAAAATTTCATGCGGAGCCTTGCCTGCGCTTGCGAGTGTGAGAGTCGAAACCCAAAATTTCAATACCAATACCCCGAGGCCCGACTGGTGTCGCTGCCGGCCCCGGAAGACGGACCAGGCGTTTGAGGTGGGCTCGCTGAGCCTCCTGGTGCCTCGGCGCAGAGGGAGGGGAGTTTCTGATTCCTGTAAGGGCATAGCTTAAAGGGCTCTTAGCAGTTCTATAGGGGTTTAGGGTTGAGGGGGTTTTGGGATGTTTTGGGAGTGTCAGAAAATGGGAGGTGCCATGCATGTACGGAGGCCTAAGGATTCAAAGTGTTCAGGATTCTATATTGGGTGCCTGCCTCTTTTAAAGCTTTTGTTTGGTTGTAGATTTGCGGCTACGGTTTCAGGGCTGTGTGGTTTAGATGCTGAGCTGTGCGGCTTTGTCGATGCAGACCGGATGCAAGACTGGATGTGCTCATTGCAGGCACCCTAGAATCAGCCGTGCGCTGCGAAACCGTTTTTGTAACGAGGCGATGTTCCTGCTTTCGGTGCACAGTCCTGGAGGCCAATGTGCCTCAGCAGCATGAGCGACAACCCACAATTAGTATTTCCTTCTCGTTCTTCTAAATAAATGAATAAACAAGCCAATAATCCACAAATAAGTAAATAACTAAGTGAATATAGACTGTTTTTGCACGAAAACCATATTTCAGCTATGATGGCCCAGAAGTTGTTAGAGGTTTTCTACTTCAGGATGAGTCTAGGGTGTAGCGAGGGACGCCGAACCCTGAACCTAACACCAATTATTGCAGGGGCTTGAACATGCAGTAGGATCTCCATATTATGATGTCCCGGTAGAACTCTGCCATAAACAAGCCCTTTGAAATGATTGCGGCAGGCCTTACAGTACTCGCACTCCTGAAGCATGCCAGATGCAACAACGTCAGGTGCCGTCCCACCCTGCACAGCAGCCGACAAGCTCGTGGCTGTAGCCACAGCTGAGTTGCGCAAGCAGAGCCTTGACGTGCATACATCTTGTTGGAGAGTTGATTACCCTGAAGGGTGCAAATACCGAAGATGCGGAGGGCAGCAACATCATCTAGCATACTGCATCATCTTTCAGTGACCCGCACGCTTCCCAGTACTACTGAAAGTCTGCAGTAAGGCTGCTGTCGGGGAATGCCGAGAGCGCCGATCTCCCGCCACAAGTGCTCAGAGACCTCGGATGCCTTCGTCTGTCGGATCAGCGCACGCTCTTGCATGCGGCCCTGGGGCGCAAGGACGCTTCAGTCAGGGCAGTGTCAGGGCCATGCAACTGTTGCTGCTAGCAACGACACTCAGGCACAATTAAGCTTGCAGGATATTGAAACCCAAAGCCCTACACCCCTAAACCCTAAAGCGCTCTAAATCCCCTCTATAAGGCTTAAACCGAAACCCTACGAGCCCTATAAACCCTAAGCAAGTGCCGGGGGCAGGACTTACAGCTTGCACGTGCCGTATTGCGAAGCCAGGGCCACGGCGGCCTTTTCTGCCGGGACTCTTGGGGTCTTGTTTCGGGAGCTTCACGTAGGTTACCAAGGCATGGATCTGATATATTAACTTATTGGTAGGGTTCTAAAGCTAATGCTGTGGCCGCCCTGCTGTGGCAATTGCCCATAGGCCCCTTAGCCTTAGTAGTTCCTTTTTCGGATTACCTTATAGGATTCTAAATATAAACCACAAGAAGGAACTACTTACGGGGCCTATGGGTAAAGCTACTGCTGTGGTTTCCCTACTATGGTATTTAAACCACTACAAAAACCCTAAAACCCTAAACCCTACAACCCTAAACCCTAAAAGCCCTAAACCTAAACCCTAAACCCCTAAACCCTAAACCCTAAACCCTAGAGGGAAAAAAGCCCTAATCCTTAAACCAACACAAAGACCCAGGACTTCGAGGGCCGCACGGTTCTGCACCACGCTGCGGCAGGCGGCAACAGCGCATCAACTCTGGAGGGACGCGAGGCCGTTGGAATCCTAAGTTTGGGGCAGGATCAATCAATCAATCAATATATATATATTATATTATACTTCTATTTATATTTATATTTATACTTATATTTACATATATATATATAGAGTTATAACAGGCAAAGACGATAAGCATTGAGGACAGCCCTGAAGGCAAACATGTCTGGCGCTCTGCAACCACGGGTGAATGCCAGCACAGCCACTGAGTGGGTTCTGTCCCAGATGAAAGCCCATGCCGTAGACATGGTGTCTGCAACAGACGCAGCAGGGCGCACGGCCGTTTTCGCCGCCGAGGACGCGGCGACCCTGCGGCTCCTAGCAGAGGCGCCTCAGTCCCTGGATCTTTTCGCTGCGGACACCGCTGGCCGAAGCTTGGTTTGGTATGCTGCGGCGCTTAATCGGCAGGAGGTTCTCTCAGAGCTCCTTTGCGAGCCGGGCGACCTGCCTCCGAATCACACCGAGTCGAACGACACGGTGGCCTTGAAACCACAGAGCCCCAAAGCCAAGAAAGCCTTGGAAGCTGGCTCTCAAGATCCGGGTGCCTCGCCTTTCCTGGCGGCAGCGCGGCAGCATGCAGGGCCGCGGTGCACTGGTCTCGGAAAAGCCACGGACCAAGCCCAGCAGACCCTTGATGTCCTAGCCTATTGCGGAGGCCCGGCCCTGGTATGCCTGGGTGCAACCATACACGCAATGCTCTGATATTCGGCAGGTGTTGTGTAATTTGTTTGTTTACACGCAGATGCAATCACAGGTTCGTATGTTTTTTGTCTTGCTGTGTCTGTTTCATTCTGTGTATACACTCACATACACGCGCGCAAAGACAAATGTGCTTCTCTCCCCAGCGCTTGTCGTTTTTTATGCGCTTCCGTATTTTGCAGACAATTAAACTTTAATTGAACACGCTCAGCTATCTTGGGGTTTATGTGCCTTTGGCACACAGTCGGCCCGCAGGCCAGCGCCCGGAAGAGCTGGACGTGCCCCTCCGCTTCAACCGGTTGAACCCACATAGAGCCTTAATCTTCGTAGGACCTCCTTTCTGGATGACCTATCTGATGATTGCGGTCCTATATCACGAAAATAAGGCAACCGCAACTAATCCGCTTCAGTTATTGCTCCTCTTGCTGTCGCTGCTGTCGTCGCCACTTGAAAAACAGGTATCGGTGCTTCTTGCTCTTATTAGTCTGCTTGGCTAATTGTTGCTACTGCTGCTGATGCAAGACAGCTTGTACAAGAGTTGTCCGTGTTTTTTTCTCACACTTGGTGCAGTCGAAGTCAATCTCTCCATCTCTCGCTCCCTCCCCTTCTCCCGTCTGCTCTGGCCCGTGCGTACAAACTCCCAAACCTAGGCAGGACACGTGGCTGACTGGTGCCAAGCGCCCTTTCAGGCAGGTTGGACTGGAGCATGATTTACTGAACATACTGAAGGCTTTGAAATCATGAAGTGTGTGTGGAGCCTTAGCTGCTTTGCGAGAGTGAGAGACGAAATCATGAAGTCTCACGGCCTGTGCACTGCATATCGAATACATGCAGCATGCATGCATTCGTGCGTACAGACAGGCAGGCATCAATGGAGATATGCACACAATCACAAACCCGTGTATCTGAATCTGTGCACGTGCAGAGGGAGATTGGTAATGTTATACGTTAATTACATTTACACACACACACACTTACATAGGCAACGTTGTGATGCAAGCATCAAAGTACACAGCATAAACTGCATGCTGCACATTATATAAGTGACACCGACTTACTAACTCATCGGCCAACTGGTTTGTTAATTTGATGGATGGCTAGACCAGACAAGGGAATGCTAAGTTTTCATTAGCATGTACGCTGCATAGCCTTGAAAATTCAAGGTGTTCCGGGATTCTGCGCACCGAAAGCCCTTCCGCGAATTTCAAAACTCCCGCAAATTCTGGAAGCTGCCGTTTTGAGGCTGTCCCTCGCTAGCCCCACAGGTCTGTGCTAGGATGACGGCTTAGAGAGGCTTACTTTCTTCACTGTGATCAAAAGGCAGAGAGACCCCAAGGAGCAATCAAAATGAAGGGGTGGACGGATAGACAAACTGATGACTCAACGAAAAGACGAGTAAAGAATGCATGTTTAAGCGTGTGTGACAGAAATGGAAGTCTCAACATGCAAGGTCATGGTTCAGCATATCAAAAAAGACTTAACACTACCACGCACGACACAAAGCACCCAAGGTGAACTAACTAATGTGGCCGCCGTCAGTCACTGTTTCGTTTAGTCAATTATCAGGCTTCGGCTTCGGCTTTTTCTGTCAGACCTTTCATGCAGTGCCTTTCGCCACGCAGGTGAAGCGCGCCTGGATCGCTCTGTGAAGGTCACAGAAAAGCCTTGCGCAACAGTATCCATCTCATCATAACCGGACGAGTCATACTCGTTGCAGTTCCAATGGTGCCTATATATATATATGTTAATTCATATCCAAAATGCAAAGATATGCTCGGGCTGACTGCCAAGGGCTCTGAGAATGTCGAAATTTGCCTGAAGCCCTGAACCGCATAAAGCCCATACTCCGAAATCCTTAAGCCCCTAAAATCTAAATCCTATGCCATGACGACGCTTCGTCCGAGCAGCATGCCTTCACGATGGTTCGAGATCTTAGCACAACATATTCAAAAGATTTAGCAACAGACGGGTCTTAACATTGCGTGGACGGCAAGCAACCAAGAAGCAGGTAATTAGGGTATTCTTTCAATCTCCAAACGAGAAGACACGGCGCTCCTGCCCAGGGACCCACCTCCATAAACTTTAAATAAAAGAACCGATACCCGACTTGCCGCTTTTCTGCCGCCCCACCGTCCTCATGTCCCGTTGCTTCGTGGACGAATGGAGGAACGAGTCTGCCGCGCCGCTACGTCCTCGTTAGCAAAGCTGTTTTCAACTTGCGAGCTAAAGCCCGTCTATGTGTAATTCTTGAGCCAGACAGAGTTAATGGCCCTACCGTAGTCGATGTGTAATGATAGAGCCCTGCAAAGGTAACATTGACAGTGCATGGTTTAGGGTCTACGTGATTATAGAGCCACGCAAAGGAAATAGTATGCCAAATGCAGATAAAATGAGTGGAAGAAATCTGCGATCCCGTGCGGTGAGCGTTGGCCCCTCCTGTAGGAAGGATTGTAACAAGAATCCTCCGATTTTGGTACTTATACGGTTGCTGACTCATTTTTCTAGAAGCAGGGTGTAGCAGTGTATCCATCAGGCACCTAAACACTGCAGAAAAGGCTCGTATTCAACCAGCATTGAGTTCATCATGCGTATTTATGTTCATTTCCATGGTTACCATTGCTAGTACAGTACAGTAGCTGCAGTCATCAGAATGACAACCATGGCTCATCACAACAATTGTCATCAGAATCGTGATAGTCATGGTACTATCTATAGTTATATATAATGCCGAAACAGGATCGTTTTCCTAAGTCATTGTGAGACGTAGCCTGGCAAGTCCCAGCTGTGAGAGTGTAATTCCTAAACCCTAAACCCCTAAAGAAGACTCCCGAGCTAGCACCAAACAAAAAAAAGCCCTAAGAAGGAACGGTAGCCATGTTACCCTAAACCCTTATAGACCCTAAACCCTTGTAAACCCTAAACCCTAAACCATGTCCGAGTTGTGAGAGCGTAAACCCTTATAAAGTCGGAAAAAGGTGTCAAAAAAACCTTATAAACCCTAAACCCTAAACCCTAAAAGTCCATGGTTCCGACGTTCTGGGTTGGGTCAGGTTTGCCAGGCAGCGGAGCCGGCCGAGGAGCTCTTGGAGCCCTGCCGGTGCTCTGGGGGCCTTTGGTTTTGGGTTTTGGGTTTTGGGTTCAGGGTTCAGGGTTTAGGGTTCAGGGTTTAGGGTTTAGGGTTTAGGGTTTAGGGTTCAGGGTTTAGGGTATAGGGTTTATAGAAATTGT